GATATTTATTTATTTATTTATTTATAAAAATGACCTTGCATGTTCATCTGTGAGCACTCAGAGTAGGTGATGGAGATGCCTCCAATGTACTGAATCGTTGTAAATGTACATCCAATGACTATGTCATAATTTTATTGAGTTATATCCACTGATTTATGAAACAGTTTGCTAAAAATCAGACATGTACACTCTGACACATTATGGGCCACATTTCATGGTGGCAGATGATAACTAGACAAACTCTAAAAGCAACAACAGAGGAAGAATCAAGTCCTGAAGGACTAGGGCTCAGTGCAGTTTTGGTTCAGTGGTACAGTGGTTATCTACCAGATGGAATATTGGGGTTAAATCTTCAAACCTGCCTTTTGTTGAAGTCTTCAGGGGCAAAATGCTGAACTTCTCCATCGTCCCAGTGGATCTTATCAGCTCTCACTTTGGATAGAAGAGCTTGCTGCGAACCTCACAGCTGAAGGGCAACAAACTTTTAAAATAAAGAGAGCTGGAGTTGACCTTGACTCTGATAAAGAGTCAATGTCAAAACATTAGTCAGTTTATTATCACCTTTATTATCAATTTGTTTATTACTGATTATCACACTTATCACTGCTACTGTTCGTTGATTAGATCGTCACTCATTTTAACCCTCCAAAATAATAATAATAATAATAAAAACACAATGTCATCCAAGTTTTCACAGAGTTTGACCTTTTCCAACAAATCAGATTTGTTGTTTTCTGTGGATCTTTGTGCAGGTTGAACTGGATCATGCTGGTGTCGAGTACAAGATTAGTGGTCATCCCTCGTGGAAGTAACATCACGAGCAGAACAGAAAACCAACTTTGAACTGGTTTGGGAAAAATCTGCACGTCAACAGAGGAAGAAGAGTTGTCCAACAGGTTTTCATGTTAAGTTCATGCACAGTGTCACGCAACAACCGAAAAGAAGCATCTTTACGTTAAAGACTGCCGTTTGTTCTGCAAAGGCAACCAACCTTTATTCACCAGACACATTTTGAATGTCAGCGTAAGGTAAATGTGCGGAGCAGTCGTCAGGACTGATATGGTGCGTCGACCGACCAAGAGTCATGACGTGTGTCGTTTGTTTTTGTCATGGCTTGTTGGTCTTTGACCTAAATGTGTTCATTTGTTTACACAGAGGTGCACCTTGTTTTTCAGTTGAGGTCAAAAAGGAGAAAAAAAAGAATAATCTGACTGAATCATATGCATGCACACTTATTTCTTTGTTTCGTTTCTTTATCAGTGATAAGGCTAATTAACCTGAGTGTACTCGGAGGCTAACTGAATGTTTGTGAGGTGTCTTTCAAACCTTTGTAGCCTATCTTTCTGTGTCTTAAGCACATGTCTCTAACCTTGCAGACATCCCTGGAAAGTGCCATACATTCACCCCCACACACACCCAACACACACACAAAAACATGAACGGTATTCCCTCGGTGTTACAAAGTGCTAAACTCAACAGTTCCCTTTAAAAGGTACATGTTCCTTCTTGGACAGCATGTATTGTCCAACATCATGACCTGTGTTTTCCATTAACGCCACAAAAATTGGACAAAGTTGTCCCAAATTTCCTACTGATTGAATATCCGTCTTGGTTTCTTTGACGTTGGTGATGATGGTTGTTTAGACGCTAACTGATTGGGTCTGTGCAAGCAGAGATCTGACTGTCGGTGAAAAAAGTCACAAGTTGTGTGAGAGACTTCGGCCTATGTGGGAGACCAAATAATCTGTGATGGGGGATGAGAGGATGTAGAGCTTTGTAGCCACAGCTGGGCATGGGCTGGTAATTAACGGTATTATAACCTTGAATAAAGCAACAAACATAATTTTTAAATGATTTGATTGCATTCAACCATATGTACTACTTCTTTCACAGTATTTTAATGTAACTTACATAAAACACAATGAACACCCATAGACGTTTTAGAATCTTATGTCGTAATACCAAGTTATTTATTGATTATCTCATTGCCTCGAAATTTTTCTCAAGTATTTTGACATAAAAGTGTTAAAACTGTTTCAAAATCACGTCCAAACTTAAGACGGTGAACTGATTTAAGTTGAAAATATCACATGATGGAACATTCACCGATGATTAATGTATTACTCTCATAGAACAACTCACTCTGTTTTATCACAATTAACTTGGTATATGAAGTAAACAAAATGTTTTTTTTTTTATCGGATAATTTGTGATTAAACTAGTTTTATTATCTCAAGATGACATCTTAATAGCTTCTACAGTTGTTCTAGACAAAGTTTGGCTATAGTAATATTAAAGCCTTTCATAGATTGACAATTATATTTATCGTTTCTTTCAAGTTGATGCACAAAGAAAGGGATTAATAGAAGATAAAGGAGTGATTTGAGAGACATCCTCTTTTTAAATCAGCTGTGAGAGTCAGCAGATCATTTTAAAGTTTTATTTTTTACAGATGTAAACAAGAATAAATGCAAAAATGTGGAACAAATACAAGTTAAATGTGATTATACCAGTGAAAACAATAATTGTTAGGGATATTCTCTCTTCACTGTTCTCCTTGGTGTAAAGTAACATCAGAAGCCTGACAAGCTGATGTTAGTTAATTATCCAAGTTGTTCATCTCAGTAAGGCTGCAGGTGGATGTTCTGGTTACTGGTAGACATGGAGACATGGTAACCCGTTAGCTTAACATTTGTTTAGTGTGTTGGTGTTTTTCACCAAGTACGAGTTTATTAATGGCCTGCTCTGTTTTCATCCATCCATTATCTTTACTCGCTTCTTGCTTTTCGGGTCACGGCCTTTGGTCTTTACATGACTTCCAGCTCGCAGCAAGCGGCACGTGGCGGAAAGGGTGTCGATGCAGCGCACCGCTAGAGAAAGCCCCGCGGTGTCTCTGACGTAAAAACACAAAAGCAAACACGTAGGAACGGTAGGACAAAAAGTTCTTTAACTGCAACGTTTCTAATTCCTGTTATACCTTAAATCAGTCATGAGCTCAAACTTAGCCCCAGCATGATCAGGCTGACTTTAAACTGTGATGTTAGATAAGTCAAAAATAAACCCGTAGGAACATCATAGCAGATCATTTGGGTTGTTTTGACACGGTGACTTTTTAAAACCAACTCTTGCTCAGGGTGATGCGTCTGGATTCAAACTGCTGTGAGGATATAATTAGTTTTAAAACATTATAACTGTGGAAACAACATGGCAACAAGATCGGGACATTTATATAATGTGATTCTTAATATCCCAGTGATGGACTGAGACCTGTCCAAGGTGACCCTTGCCTCTCGCACAGTGACTGCTGGATATAAGCACCAGTGACCCCAGTGACCCACAAAGGAATATGCGGGTAAAGATAATGGATTGATGGATGGACTCTTAAAAGAACATGGTACATCTTAAAACCAGCTCGGCACCAATCACAGGATGATAAGCGTCTAAACTGTGGGATGACGCCTTAAAAAGAAAGTCCTGAAACTTTAGAAACAGTTTGACAGCTGAGCAGTCGTTTTGACTCGGTGACTTTTTAAAAACCGGTCCATGCCTAGCCTCAGGTCGATGAGTCTGTTTCTAAACTGCTGACGGGGATGTGATCCACAGGACATGAGGCGTTTTGTATATTGTAAAGCCGGTTGTCTGAGAAAATTTAGTGTAGTGTATATATATCGTTCAACATAAATAAGAGTATCTGTTTAATACCTGGGAACTGTTTTTCAGCTAGCCAAAGTTCGTTTGTGTCACTGTTCATGGTAGTGTTATGGATAGATTAGATGGGCTTACGAAAGCCCAAAGAAAGTTTGGGAGTTTAGAGTAGAACTCTAAAATTATTTGTCTTTTTGTTGTGTTCTTGACTGGTGGGTTCAACTGTCTGTGGATAGTAGAGGTTAAAATGGGAAAATAATAAACGATTGTATTACTCATCCAAAGCCTTAGAATGTACCATCGGGTCAGCACAATGCAACATGCCATTTTGAACCATACGGCTGCCTAACTCACGCCACTCACGGAGCACTAAGTGATTGTCCCTGTTTGTGTCAGTGTTTTCTTTTCTTTGTCTTATTATTATTATTTGGGAAATACTTTGAGGTTAGTTCCAATTTTCTTTTGTTTTGCTGATGATATTTATGGATACAACAATGAATATAAGGTACAGTGTGTGTTTGTGTGTTCTTCATCCACAGTTTCTTGAAATTCCATTAAGTTCCTTTTAGAATGGTTCTGACTGTAAACTCGATATTTTCTACTTTCTGCAAGTTGTTGCATATTGTTCATTTCTCTAGTCTTTTTTTTTGTTGTTGTTGTGTTCTTTGAACAAAGATGTTTTATATGAATATCTAACAGTAATGAAACGATAGAACAGAGAGGCTGAGTTGTCACTGTGGCAACTACCGCCATTACCTGAATAATATTTTAATGATTGTAAGGTTTGTAACTAGTCCTATAAGAAAAAAAAGCTATTATAAAAAATATATAATTCTTAGATGTTTAGAGTAAAGATGTTATTTTCTACTGTATCCATTTCAAATAATAACTATTGTTTGAATCTTTCTACTCTCCCTGGAAATCGGGCCATGTTGGAAAACAAGCTGCATATTGAATCACTTTTAAAGGCGTTGCTGGCAGGGTGAAGGTGAACGTGGTGAGTGCAGGACTCAAACCTTGCCGACTGCAAACAACAAGGGTGGGAAAAACTGAGGCGATGCAGGTGACGAAGGTTGACTTTTTTGCACTTCTGTACATAGTCAAAAAAGAGAGAATCATGTATATTGAGATCTTATTTTGAATAAAAAAAATACTGTCTATGATGACAAGGAATTTTGCTAGGACAACAAAAAAAAATAATTCTTTTGAAAGGCTGAACAAAATTGCTTGCATTTAAAAGGGCACTGGGTTCTCACTCTCCTACCCCTTTCAGAATAAAAGGCCAAGTGTTGCTCTTCTTTTTTGTCAGCAGCTTGTAGTTTGCCAGGTAACCTTCCGGAGGAGGCGTCCACTAACCCTCCAGCGCAAGAGCCTGACTGGGTTCGTTTGGTCTATTAAAGGGATTCTTCAGATCTTTAGGAGTGGGGATCAAGAGTGAATTTATAAACAGTTAATATCTTACCTGTTGTAGATAGCTCGTGAATTACGCCAATTAAAACAGCACTAAACTCATAGTTGTTGCAGTGGCTGCTGTGAATACAGTTTAATACACATTTATGCAGCAGCCAGTTATATTTAAATTATTATTATGACTGTATTATTTGCCTAAAAGTGTACCAGTGCTACCAATAGCTGCTACTGCAGCCATTTGTGCTGGCAAGTAATCACAGGATTCTATGTGTGATCATGTGATGTGAATGGTTACAATCCATTTTGGTCTTTTCTCCATTCATTCAGACTAGCTGTTAGCTTGTCCATTGGTCACTATATATACTGTATATTAGGTTTGTCAAAGAGCTATCTATAGCAGGTAAGACAAAAATTGTCCATAACCATTCTATAGAACCCCACTTCAAAAGATCTGAAATATTGCTTTAACCTGCCTGCACCGACAGGTGTGTGTGTTTTATGGCCACACCCTCAAAGGCCCCACCAATCACATTACGTCCTGTCTCTTTACCTTTCTCGGAAAGGAATGCATGTCAAAAAAATTGCATACAGTATACTGAAAAAAATCACAGCACAGTAATATTGAGTAAGAAAACATTTACACAGAAAGATGTATTTACAATATACAATATCAATGTAATGGAATAAAATATATACAAAAATACAAAAATAGAATAGTGGTTTTTATATGAAAAAAAAAAAAATATTCCAGAGACCATACTCACTAAAGTTTCACCACTTGGAGAGGTAAAATACATGCAATGCAAACACCATAGCTACAGGTAATTTCTTTCTGTTTATGTAAGCTGTGCTTCTAGGAGATGAAATCGACCAAACTGACCAATCAGACAGACTTTAACAGGAACCCCGACTAATAAGACTTAACACTCTCTAATAGTTGTTCTAAACCCTTTTCAAATCATCTAAATCATCCTTTTTATCTTTAAAAATGTTTCCAACATAATGACATACTTACTACTCACCATTATTTTGTGTGTGCAAGACATGCATTGTGAAGGATGATGTTTTGTGGCATTTGCCATTAAGAGAATATCAATAATAATATTACAATACCAGCTTTTAGTGGTTTATATTGATCCATCAACTAATGGTGATGCTTTTTGCTGATAACAACAAATCAAAACAGTAGTGTCCATGAATTGTCCGTTTGATCATCCAGACTGCAGGGGTTCCCAACCCTGGTCCTTGAGGAACACCATCCATGCAGGATGGTATTTTAGTTGTTTTCCTGCTCCAACACACCTGATTCAATGACTTAATGACTTCCTCAATTTCTGCGGAAGCTCGTTAATCACCTATTTATTAAAATCAGTTGTGTCGGAGTAGAGAAACAACTAAAATTTGCAGGATGGTGTTCCTCAAGGACCAGAGTTGGGAACCCCTGATTCCAGAAAAAAAAGGGAACAAAAATAGAAGCGGCTTGTTGTAATTTTAATAATTTTACAAAATTTATTGTGTCTTATTTTTTTTTTGTCCTATATTGTTTTGAAGTATTTTCAA